CGTCCCTGAGATCTCCTAGTGCTTGGGGTGAGTTGGGGGGATTTGGGGATGTCCTTGAGCCCTTCCAGCCCCGTGGTGAGCAGGAGTGGGGGGTGTTGGGGGTTCCCCGAGACCTCCCAGTGCTTGAGGTGAGGTGGGGGTATTTTGGGGGGTGTCCCAGAGCTCCTCCAGCCCCGGTGCTCACCGGTGCCGTTCTGCACCCGCTCCCGCAGCTCCTGCAGCCGCGTCAGGTTCCTCTCCAGCGCCAGCGCCGTGGTGTTCACGTAGAGGTACATGTAGCAGGAGGGCTCCGCCGACACCGTGTGCACCTTGTGGTACTGCCCTGCCGGCAGCTGGGATGGGGGGGGACAAAGACTGTCAGCAGCACCCCTCGGGGACCCCCTCATCCCCTCCCCCCGCCCAGCGTCACCCCCAGGACCTCACCTGCATCCCCTCGCCCTCCCGCAGGGAGCGGTTTTGCTGCTGCTCCACCAGCTCCACCAGCACCTCTCCCCGCAGCACCCGCAGGCTGGTGTTACCCAGGTCCTCGCTGACAAAGTTCTCCAGGTGCAGCCCTGGAAAGGGAACAAAAAGGGGTGCAGCTCCCCCCCCAAAAAGGTGGGTGCCTCCCCAAGCCCTAGGGGATCCCCCCACACACCCTGACCCCATACCGGGGAAGTCGGCGATGAAGACGGCGTCGGTGTGTCCGTCCAGCTGGCTCTCCAGCTCCTGCAGCCGCTGCCGCCACGGGGAGAGCTCCAGCAGCAGCGGCAGGACCCACGGCGTCGGCCGCCACGGGGACCACGGCGCCCGCACCAGGTCCACCCGCGGGTCCACCAGCCTGCGGGGATGGGCTGTCAGCACCCCTACAGCCCCCCCCCACCCCCCAAATCCTGTGGGTCAGCCATCCCCCTCCAAACCTCTGCTGGAAGCGGTCGTTGATGGAGACCCAGACGTCGAAGTAGATCTGGGGCTGGGAGATGTTGTAGCGGGGCAGGAGCTGGCTCAGGCAGGTCGAGTATTGCTTCAGCATGTCCGCGTGGTCCTTCCAGCGCCGGCTCTGCGTGAACACCTACACGGGGGGGCCATCTGGGTGATGGGGACACCCCCCAGCCCTGTCACACCCCCCCCAGCCCACCGCAGGGTCCCCACTCACCCCCGGTTTGAGGTAGCCCACCTCCCCGGTGAGCCCATCCCGGTAGGTGATCTTGACGTGCTGGTGGAAGCGGGAGTGAACCATCATGTCCCAGGAGTAGCCGTACAGGCCGTTGGTCCAGTTGTTGTAGCCCTGGGAAGGTGGTGGTGGTGGTGAAACAGGGACACACACACACACGGGGAGGAGTTTGACACCAGGGGACAGCACTGCCCCCCACTCCATAGGGACACGGAGGGGATGGGGACACCTGGATTCCCCTCCACCCCCCTCCTTCATCCCTGAGTGAACTGACCCCCTCCTTACCGCTGTGACCCACCCCCCAAAAGTGCCCCCCCCAACCCAGCGCTGTCCCCATGTGTCCCAGTGTCCCCATTAGCACCCCCTTACACACCCCA